GGATTCAAACTAGAATCTATTCTCATGATTTTTCTACAAAGAAATACAAACATTTAGATAAAGAGATCATAAAAAAAAGTTAAGGGATAAGAAAAATGCTTGCCAATTTGCCTAGTAATGGCTCTGAACACCAATCCCAAAAGAAAATCCCAAATCAAATGTCCTCCTCCTTCACTCGCCATACTATAACCGAGCCTCCTCTCCTTCTTCTCTTTTTTTTTCAGATGAGGAGATAGGGATTTGGTAGAGAAATATAAAAGGGTTTAGAGATAAGATTTGTTAGAGATTTTTCCAAGATTTGAGAGATTAGTTTCAGATTTGTTTGTTTTTTTTCTGGTAGTTTCCCCCCTGTAGGAGATATTCCCGCAGTAGAGTTAGGCAGTCACATTGGGAACTTGAGTCTTCTTATTTTGTTTTTTTTAAACTAACTGGGCCTTTAAAGAAAAAGTAACATGTTTTAGTAAGTAGATGGGCCTATGCATAAGGCTTGCCAAAAAAAAATGATTGTGGGCCTCCTATATAAAAGCTTGCATATTTAACCAACTTAATTAATTGATTTGCAACTTAAAAAAAAAGGATTATTACAGTTTTGAAATTTTAGGATGATTTTTTTAATTCTAAACCCTTGAGGGTGTTTTTTATAATTTTTAAAATTTAAGGGTGTTATTTGCAAGTTTTAAATTTATAGGGGACTGTTGAAAATTTTTAGATTCCATATGTCATTTACAAGTTTAGAAAATTCTAAGATTATTTTATAATTTTGAACTCTTGAGCGTGTTTTTACAATTTTTAAAACTTTGAGAGTGTTTTTTGCAAATTATAAATTTACAGGGGCTGCTGATAATTTTTGGATTTCATGTCTCATTTGTAGGTTTTGAAATTTTAAGGTGGTTTTTTGTAATTCTAAACCATTGAGGATGTTTTTAAAAAAATTTAAAAACTTTGAGGGTGTTATTTACAAAATTACCAAATAATCTTTAGATTTATATGCCATTTGCAAGTTTAGAAAATTCTAAGATTGTTTGGTAATTTTGAACTCTTGAAGGTGTTTTTCTCATTTTCTAAAACTTTTTAGGGTATTTTTTGTCAATTATAAATTTCTAGGGGGTTGCTGGTAATTTTTAACTTTCATGTGTCATTTATGAGGTTAGAAAGTTTTGAGAGTTTTTTTTTTGTAATTTTTAACTATTGAGAACGTTTTTATAATATTTTAAACTTTGAGGGTTTTTTTGCAAATCTCAAATTTTTAAGGGGTTGTTAGTATTTTCCTAATTTTAAGTGTTTTCTATAATTTTGAACTTTTAAAAAATGTTTTGTAATTGTTGAAACGTTGAGGGTGATTTTGAAAGAATATCCATCTAAATGGGCAAATTGATGGGTTATAGCCCGCCCATTTATGACCCATTTATCTTTAATAGAAGGAAAAAATTGTGTCGGGGCCTCAAAAACAGAAACTTCATGTGTTGCAGCCCATTCAATTTTTCCTTATGTGGTTCAGCCCCTTAAAATGTGACATTTTGTGATGCAGTCCCTTTTAGCATTTATTACATGTCAACTAAGCTAAAATCGCCAAAATGTCCTTATCCCCTCTCTTCAATCCCTCAAACCCAACTCTCTCTCTCTCTCTCTCTCTCTCTCTCTCTCTCTCTCTAAAACCAAGGGTTTTCTCAAGCTCGTTGCCCTCGCCCTCGCCCTCCTCGCCGTCGCCTCCGCCTAGGCCCTAAGCCTCCCCTCGAGTTTGTCGCCGCCTCCCTTCCTCTCCTCCGCCCGACCTCGTCGCTGTAGCTCGTCGCCGCTCCCCGCCTCGCCCTCGACTATACCGAAGTTCGTCGCTGTCGCTCTCCGCCTCGTCCTCGAGTTCGCCGTCAACGTTGTCGGCAGTCATGACCCGATTCGACTGCTCGTCGGCTAGAGATCAAGAGCTGTTGATATCAATGCCAGAGAAAATAGACTATGTCGAGGGCTTCATAGTTTTGAATGAGCAGTCTCTTCATAGCTCCTCCATTGCTTTCTCTTCCCATTTGAGTTCACCACTCAGCTCAAATAGGACAGCTCCAAAGTCTAGTACTGCATTGAGTTTGATGTGCATGATTACCAAATAAAAGAAACCAATATGGATCAAGTGAGCAATACAAACATAATTTCATTCAAATTGAAAGAGAAAAAAATGAGCTGAAAACATTTTTATTTTTATTTTTTGGACTTTAGGTTGTGGAGAACTAGAACTAACACGCGGTGAGTTAGAACTAACATACAGTAAGTTAGAACTAACATGCGGTGAGTTAGGACTAACACAAGAGCGCAAGAGCCATGAATTAGAATTAGAACTAACGTGCGGTGAGTTAGAACTAACACGCGGTGAGTTAGAACTAACACGCGGTGAATTAGGACTAACATAAGAGCCTAAGAGCCATGAATTAGAACTAGAACTAACACGCGGTGAAAGGTAACAAGAGTGAGCAAGGATCAAAGTCTAGTGAATCTTAGCAGTTGGATAACATTGAGCAGCGTTTGGTCCTGCTCACAGCTTAAATCAATGCTTGCATATTGGAAGAGTATTGTCAATTTGAGCTTTTGTTGCGCAACCGTCAGCAAGCATTTTAAAAGAATAGAACTTCTTTGATAAACTGTGAATCAAACTAAGCAAGTTAATGACGTTGTAAACATGTTGAAATGCTGGCGAGATTGGAAGTGATACCACTAAAATTCCAGGTAATTGCAAAATTTATGCTTGTTCTTTTTTTATAAGTACCAACCTTTCTTGTGTTAGTTCTAACTTGCCGCGTGTTAGTCCTAATTCACCGCGTATTAGTTCTAACTCACCACATGTTAGTTCTAGTTCTAATTCATGGCTCTTGGGCTCTTGTGTTAGTTCTAACTCACCGCGTGTTAGTTCTAACTCACCGCGTGTTAGTTCTAGTTCTAATTCACGGCTCTTGGGCTCTTGTGTTAGTCCTAACTCACCGCGTATTAGTTCTAACTCACCACGTGTTAGTTCTAGTTCTAATTCATAGCTCTTGGGCTATTGTGTTAGTTCTAACTCACCGCGTGTTAGTTCTAACTCACCGCGTGTTAGTTCTAGTTCTAATTCATGGCTCTTAGGCTATTGTGTTAGTTCTAACACCACGTGTTAGTCCTAACTCACCGCGTGTTAGTTCTAACTCACCGCATGTTAGTTCTAGCTCTATTTTTTACACTATCAACTAACAAATATGTAGGGTCCTTTAATGAAAAATTTCAACGTGAAAATGTGAGTCACCAAAATCAGGATATCACAAAAAGGGACATAAAATCGAATACTGTTTATTAAAATTAAATCACATGTAAATACATGTTCACATCATCACCAAAAAATGCACAAGAACCAATATCTAAACACCTCCAAAATCTCAGTGAGTTGCAATGCTTATCAAACTAAGCAACTTGCTAATCAACAAACTGAATCGATCCTTGGGCTGCTGCTTCTTGAACGTCATCGACAACTTCAAACCTTCATCACTAGCTTCGGGGTGGCCACACTCGAACTCAGAGTCCTATCAATAGCAGCGCAACAGACGTTGAGAGCTTCAGGGTGGTCACCGAGCACCGAGATGCGGCGCTGGCGGCCGTACTCCTTGATAACTCTGCGGATGACAGTGGCGGCCAGGTCCTCGGAGTCAACGAGCAGTCGAATCAGGCCGGGACTACCAACAACGTTCACGGCGAACTCGAGGCGAGGCGGAGAGCGGCAACGACGAACTCAGGCGTAGTCGAGGGCAAGGCGGGGAGCGGCGGCGGTCGGGCGGAGGAGAGGAGGGGAGGCGGCGGCGAACTTGAGGGGAGGCTTGGGGGTCTGGGCGGAGGCGACGATGGCGAGGAGGGCGAGGGTCAGGGTGACGAGCTTGAGAAAACCCTTTGTTTTAGAGAGAGGAGAGAGAGAGAGAGAGAGAGAGAGAGAGAGAGAGAGAGAGAGAGAGAGAGAGAGGAGATGAGAAAGCGCTGAGTTTGAGGGATTGAAGAGAGGGGATAAGGACATTTTGGGGATTTTAGCTTAGTTGGCATGTAATAATTGCTAAAAAAAGACTGCAGTACAAAATACCACATTTTAAGGGGCTGAACCACATGAGAAAAAATTGAAGGGGCTGTAGCACATGAAGTTTCTGCTTTTGGGGCCTGACAGAATTTTCCCTTAATAGAAACTATACCCACCCAATTTCACACATTTCCATCCCTAAAACTCACCCACAACATCTAATAAAATATTATTTTTATCCAACAACTCATCCACCACATCTAATAAAATATTATTTTCATCCAACAACTCATCCATCACATCTAATAAAATATTATTTTTATCCACAACATCACCCAACTCATCTCATCTCATATTTAAAAATCACTCACATCATTCAATAAGATTGTGACAACTCATCTCATCTCATTAACATTTCATTTCTTTGTTTTCCTCTCAAAAAGCTAGGAAAACAATTTCCTTAAGTGTGGGTCACATCATCCAATAATATAATGATAACTCATCTCATCTCATCTATTTTCTTATTTTTAAGAAATAACCAAACAAAAGAAAACAACCTATTACAAGAAATAGGTTTCTTATAATTCATTTCCTTATTTTTTTCGCCAACCAAGAAATCTCAAAACAAGTTTTCTTAAAAAAACACTCACATCATCCTATAATAAGATGACAACTCATCTCATCTTATCTTCATTTCTTTGATTTCCTTCTTTTTTTTAGCAAACCAAACACTCCCAAAACAATTCTTCTTAGAAATAGTTTTCTATTTCTTTGATTTCCCATTTTTTAAAGGCAAACGAACAGACCCTTAATAGAAACTATACCCACCCATTTATGACCAATTTAACTAAATGGGTGAGTTTATATGGTTCATTTGGCGGGTGGGTATGGGTGGGCAAATGATTTTGGGTCAATTTTGCCATCCCTATTGCTTAGACACAGAGTCCAGTTACTCATTTTCAATTGATATACATAAAAAACAACAACATAACAAAACCTTATTCGCATATTTCTGATTATAGGGTTTATATACAAACAATGAAATATTCTTCACCCTTACCTCTGTGAGAGTACAACAAATGGCTAGCTCATATCAGCCAACAATACAATAATTATTTACAAATATATGGCACGAAACATTTGATCTTCAATAACCACACAGTTTTTCTTCTTTAAGGGAGGAACTGCTTCGTTGCCAGGGAATTCCCATCTAGCGATCAATCCATCCCAAGACGAGCTCACAAGCATAGGATAGTATGGATGCCAGCTGCAGTCTCTTACAGTTAGCTGGTGGCAGTCTAGTTTTGCAACGCGGTCTCCAGTCACCTGATAAATACCAAAAACCCCAATCAATCAGTTTAATCATAATCTCCAGAAAATGATTTTCAAAGTTATATGCCATCAAGAATTATAAATCCATGAACAAGCGAACTATAACAGAAAGGTGGTCTCAAAATCTAAGGAATTTTAATTGCACATAGCTCCCTGTAGTACCACTATTTTGAACTTACTATTGTATAGTTTCATTGCTTGAGATAGACCTCCTGGGCTGACTTTTTCACTCTTTTACCCTCAGATGGACTCATTAGATTCACGGACAAATTTTCAAAACCAACCCCTTTCATGTTTTAATTGCAAAAAACGATCTGTTTCCAATTTATTTAGAAAAGCCGACCTGGTTTCAGCACTGTCGTTGAAACCAGGTCGGTTTTCTAAAAAAATTTACGAAACTTCACGGGAGTTCAACTCCCGTGAAGTTTAGTACTCTTTTAAACTTCACGGGAGTTGAACTCTCGTGAAGATTATTTTCCTGAATAAACTCCACGGGAGTTCAACTCCCGTGGAGTTGCAGGCTAAAATCCCCAGCGAGTAGCTCACTGGGAAATTAGCCTGCAGCTTCACGGGATTTCAACTCCCGTGAAACTGCAGGCCAAATTTCCCAGCGAGCTACTCGCTGGGTTCTTGGCCTGCCCAACTCCCACGGGAGTGAACATCCGTGAGTTTGCGCCTAATATATAGGAACGCGACAGAACCCTGTCCCCAATCATTTCTCTCCCCGCAATCCCGCCCCCCAACCCTAACTTCCTCTCTCGTGCCCAACCGCGCCCGCCGCCACGTCAAACCGACCACAGCTCCCCAAATCCGACCGCCTGGAACCGTACTACAACTGCCGGAACTCCTTTCCGACTCGCCCGACACCTCATTCGTACCGCCGGAACGCCGTCGTCGCCGGCTCGATTTCGACTAGGATTTAGGATTCTCTCCCAAAATTAATTTATTCTCTAAATTTTCTTGTATTTGCTCGCTATTAATGGTGATTACATCTAAAAAAAAATATATTTGCAGAATTAATGCTGACGACCCCATCGAGTGAACACTGAATTTCGGATGATGTTATTAATAGCAAGGCTGTGAAGGGAGGAAAGGGCAAAGGCTCAAGAGGAATACAAAAGTGTTGGAAACTCTAGATGTCGCACTAAAGTATTTGCCCATATGTGAGAGGCTTTCACATGGGATGAGACAAGAACCACCAGATCAAAAAAAACTTTTTAGAAGCTTAAACAGAAAGTAACAATGATGCTCGATTATTCAGTGAAGATGCGATCTGACTTTCAAGCACTCAATTTGTTATTCAACGACAATATTTGAATGCTTCAGGCAGAGATTATTGGAGAGTGGTGTATCTAAGGTGTCTTCCTAATATTTGTGTATATGTAGCATCCGCTGCATCCTTATTAGTTCTTCTCTATTACAAATATTAATTGTATTAGTTTTGATTGTACTGAAGTTGAAAATATATTTGGAATCTTAATGAAAAACAATACTTTATTAAAAATAAAATTTGGCGTAGTACAAGAACTTGACTCCTTTTTTAAATTCCTTGAATTAAGAAACTTAAATCTCGGCGTATGGAATTCCCTTGCTTGCACATAAAAATGGCCTAATCGAATCAAATTCATTTTTTTTTAGTTGATTTTTGTAGTGCTTACACATATGTTGTTTGCGGTTGTTCCTGGGATCCCGATGATGGCATTTGAATTCAGTTTTTTAGAGGCACCAACTATGACATCTAATGATTTTAAAAAATAGTGTTATCAATAATTTTGTCTATATTTTAGAATTTCGATGTGAATAGATTGAGTGAATCATGCCTCAGAAAAATAACATAATTTGGCCCTGGAATGAAGTTTTTGCTGGATGTGGACGGGTGTTGACAATTATAATAAAATCTAAAATTAGTGTTTATATGACATCAATTAGATTGAGAATATTAATGAGTGAATTTATTGATGATCATAGTGAAGCAAAACTATAAATAATTTGTTTGATTATACACGGAGGAGGCTTCGGCTAATTATCAATAATGTAAAAAATAGTGTTGGTACATATGTATGACATCGGTATATGAATCGGTATATGAATTTGTTATAAATTATGGTTCCCTAAAATTGATATAGGATTTAATTGTAAGTAACAATAAATTTTTAAAGTCTTTTCGTGTAATATTGATCTTGAATGTTTTACTCTTCAGAGATAATGATGAACGATCGAATCGTAATTTTGTGTTCGTATGATGGGAAGATTAACTACCTCGAAAATAATATGCCCGTTTATGAAGGAGGTACGACGAGACCATTGTTTATAACAAAATCGTGTACTTTCGATGAGTTGGTTAATGAATTGCACAAACTTACATTAACCAACTCACGTGAGTATCACCTTAATGTTATTTGCAATTATCCTGTTGTGGAGAACAGGACAAGCGACATTCAAATATCAAGTGACTACGATATGAGTCTTATTGGAGTCTTACATGACGAGAAGCGTTCGATTGAATTGTTCATTGAAAAACATCAAAGGAATTTGGGCAAATCGTTGAATTATGACGGAATGTATTCCCGCATGTTGGAGGACCCTGATGTTGATTCAGTTGGCTTTTTATCTCCTCAACAAGATGAAGGTTGGACACAATCACAATATATGAGCGGTCCTTCGCTTGTGGGCACTTCAAATGCGGTCGATACTAACACGGGAGTTCAAGAAGATAATGCAAGTGTTGAATCTGAGAATGATGATGAAGAGGAGGGCTTACAAATTAATAGCATGACCTTGATAGATCGTGATGAAGGGGACAACCACCACATTGACGGGTGTTATGCTAATAATGAGTATGTTGTCTTAGAGGATCCGCCGCCCGATGAACTTCAAGGAGAAGAATGGATCGATAACTCCGTGATGGAAAGTGTTCCTATTGGCACTAATAGCGGTCATGATACACAGGGCGAGGACTTCTCATTTGTGAAGGGAGATCTATATGAGAGCAAGGAGAAATTGATCCATGCGCTTCGCTCGTATGCCATTGCAAAAAATGTCAAGTTTAGGCCAACCAAAAATAATACTACAAGCTATAATGCGGTTTGTTTCTATCGCAAAGATGGGGATGATGAAGATATTGGTGGACACCACGACAGCAATGCGAAATGTCCGTGGAAGCTTAATTCACGCTCCGGTGTAAGAGTAGGCGGGCAATTCAAAATCACGGCATACAACGGACTCCACACTTGTAGCAATCCTCGATTAGAGATGAACAACAAGAATGCATCCTCTTCCTTCATATATCGATTGATTTTACCGCATCTGAGGGAAGATCTTGATCTAAGGCCGAAAGATATTCGTCTTCTAGTGCAAAAAGCCACCAACTTGGATGTATCATATCACAAGTGTTGGAATGCTAGGAGGAAGGCGATGATAAAAATATTCGGTGATTGGGATAAATCGTATGAGATCTTACCTCATTATCTTGAAGCACTCAAAAAAGAAAATCCAGGGACTGTCTACGAAGTATCTTTGGACCCCGTTGATGGCGGAGAACGGCGGTTCACCGGTGTATTTTGGGCATTTGGGCCCTGTATTGAGGGGTTTCGATATTGTCGTCCTCTTCTTAGCATTGATGGCACCCACTTATACGGCAAGTACAAAGACGTTTTGCTTGTTGCCACCGGAGTTGATGCGGATGGCGGTTTGTTTCCTTTGGCGTTTGCAGTAGTTGATATTGAAAACACAGAGAATTGGGCGTGGTTTTTTGCATGCGTTAGGTATCATATCCCTAGTGTGGGGGCGCGGCCGATTACATTCATATCTGATAGGATGAAAGGAATTCCAAGAGCACTCCAACGTTATTTCCCGTCACCACATGCACATCGTTATTGCTTGCGACATATTAGGGACAACTTCAAGAAGAAATTTGGAAACGGTCAGGTTCAAGATCTTCTTTGGCAAGCCGGCTGTGCAATAGAATCCTTTCATGTCGTAAGATACAGTTTTAATGAATGGGAAGTCATTGAGGGAATATCACATAGAGAAAATCGCTCTTATAAAGTTAACATGTTAGTGGATCACTCGTGTACGTGCACTTGCAACGTACCGCAATTACAATGGATTCCTTGTTCACATGTTGTCGCGGCTTGTTCTGATCTACAAGGTGGTGCGAGGATTTCACATTATGAGTTCGTCGAGGCTTGGTATTCTACTTACAACTATCGACAAACATACAAAGAGTGTTTTCGTCCACCATATGATAGTCGATATTGGACACAAGACGGGCCACTGATATTACCTCCTTTGAGTATAGGGGAGTGCACCATCACTTTACAGGACGTGACCATCATACTTGGGCTCCGGATCGATGGGCCGGCAGTTACGGGCACCGATGATCATAGTTGGCCGGAGGTATGTGCCCGGCTTCTTGGACAGGTTCCGGACTTAAGGAGTGGTGCGATGAAGCTATCGTGGCTTCGTAAGACATTTCAGGGCGACATACCAGAGGATGCCAGTATGGAGACGCTTCAGTTCCATGCTCGTGCTTACATATTGCACATGATAGGGTGCGTGTTTTTTCCTGATGCGAGCAAGACTCTTGTACATGCACGATGGCTGTCGTTGCTAGAGGATTTTGACGTTTGCGAGCACTGTCGTGGGGCAGTGCAGTGTTGGCATACTTGTATCGAGAACTGAGTAGAGTATCCCTGATGCAGAATAAAGAATTCAAGGGATGCTGAACATTGATACAGATTTGATCATGGGAGCGCATTCATATTGGACGCCCTACTTTACTTGTGCACCGGGACCTACATGGGCAGTTTCCTTTGGCGTACAGGTATAATTGTACACACAAATTTTATTCGCACTGAATTTGTACTTATATATTCTCTATTCTGCATATAGGTCGTGCGGTACGCTAAGTACCGAACAGCGACGCGCCATCGTGAGTTTTACCGAAATGAGCTTGATGGCCTCCAACACGAACATGTAAATATAAATCTCAAGTCGTTATGAATATTATAGTTTTGTTGTTGATACCGATAAATGTTTTATTTTATTTCAGTTCAAGTGGAGACCCTATACACTGCCGGAGCTCGATATGCATTCTCTTGCACCCATCTGCCGAGATAGTCCCGACTTATGGAGAGCCAGAGTTCCATTGATTTGTTGGAAGATCGTGGAGATGCATGTCCCTGACCGTGTGCTACGACAGTTTACGCTCTCTCAGCATGTGCCAGATCTTGTCGAGCAGATCTCTCGTCGGCGGCGACCTACTTCGCACCATACCGACTGGGCCGTAGTCCGTGCGGCCTACATAGACAGGTGGGCTCACAGGTGGGATTTCATCCAGGATACGAGGCCCACAACTGTTGACTATACCGCGTATATGGGTTGGTATTGGGGTATCACACGTAGATGGATCACACGTGACCCACAGCCCTTAGCTGGACACATGCCACGGCCACCGACAGACAGTTACATCCCTAGTGGGATGAACGAGAGAGATTACGTAAGTTTCTAAGCTAAATTATAATATTTTTTTCTTGAGTTGGTACTTAATAAATTATTTACCTCACAGGTCCGTGCTTTTGATAGCATTGAGGCTGATATTGATGCGACCGTGCCTGAGATTCAGGATCAGGTGGCGTTAGGACTCCTCAACAGGATCAAGAAGACCATAGCACAGGTGTTTCATAAGACTCACGTCGACGAGTTCACAGGCCGTGAGGACAGGTCTCGATCATTTGGGCAGGCGTACACTCGGCGCCGACGGCCACGTGACGATGACGGCGGCACTTCGCATGCTGATGGAGCCGGCACTTCGCATGCTGATGGAGCCGGCACTTCGCAGCCTCATACACAGCCGGATACTCAGATAGTCGAGGCTCATCAGCGCGGGGGGCGGGGAAGAGCGAGGGGGAGGGGGAAGAGAGGGAGAGGAAGGAGAGGAGCTATATTGGTTTGTATTTGAACTTATTTTGTTAAAATTTATAACTTGTATGAATTTTCAAATACTATACTTTTATGGATCAATTATAGCTCGATATGTGATCTTTTTGCGTATTGTTTGATTCGTGCGTGTTTAAATAATATATATATTGCAGTAATTATTGTCAACAGGTAAATAGTTGTATATATGAGTTAAATAAGTAGAGGTATACAAAACATGCACAGCAGGCTGTGCATGTTCTGTAAAACCTGCAACTTCACGGGAGTTCAACTTCCCGTGAAGTTGCAGTCTAAATTTCCCGAGAGCGATTCTTCTGGCAATTTGGCCTGTAACTCCATGGGAGTTCAACTCCCGTGGAGTTTTACATTGCCAACAAACTCCACGGGAGTTGAACTCCGTGGAGTTTATTCAGGAAAATAATATTCACGGCGAGATTCAACTCCCGTGAAGTTTAAAAGAGTACTAAAACTCTCGTGAAGTTTCGTAAATTTTTTAGAAAAACCGACCTGGTTTCAGCGACAGTGCTGAAACCAGTCGGTTTTTCAAATTAATTAGAACAGCGTCGTTTTTTGCAATTAAAACATGAAAGGGTTGGTTTTGAAAATTTGTCCTTAGATTCACCCCTGAGGGGCAATTCTGCCAAATTTCCAACAGTAGAAGAATTTAAAAGATTTGGGTGGGTTGGGGGCGCGGGGGGGGGGGGGGGTTACATGGACAAGGGTTCGAGAAATTCGAAAACCTACTACAGGGGGTCTATGCACAATTAACCTGAATCTAAATCATATTGATTGATAGGTTATAATTTACTGACATTGAAAAAGATGGAAGAAGATTAAGTATGAACTTACCACATCATAGATATAAACACAATTGTCGTGGGACCCAGTGTATATGTACCTCTGACCAGTGCTGAAACAAGAAATGGAAGTACGAAAATAAGTTCCCTCTGATTAATTTAAGAACGCCAGCAAGCTTTTATTTCGAAATTTTAGGGCAGCTACGTGATCCTTTTTCCATCCAGCTCTGTTATGAGCTATCTCACATTATCACATCCTTCTTAATTACTTTTGCGACCAAGTTCTCCTAGGCCTAACTATAGTCTCCTTTCTCTACTAATCTATGTTGAATATGTTTTCTTCACTATTTCCAGAAATTTTTTAGTTGCAGTGATTTACTAATATGCATAAAACAAAAGGAGGCAACAAAAATATTACTGTTTTATGTCAGAAGAATTTTAAATGATAATGTGTCAAAGAAACAAATTTTCAACACTTACCTATGGGCAGGTGAGAAATAACAACGTATTAGAGTACGAAGGACCGCATGTCCTCTATATGTAGCGACACACTGATCAAATGGATGTTTGAATTGCTTAGCGCTAGGTGGGTACTCCATCCATCTGTAGTCCCAATCAGAAATTCTAGGTCTGAAGCTGCAATGAGTTACAGCAATTGTATCAGCAATACCAAGTCAAATTCAAGTTTCATGGTCAATAACCGATGCACGATACTTGCATGCAAATTTGTTCTCAATACAAGCTGAAAATTTACCTACTAGCGTTGGAGGACATCTTTCGAATGTCCCACAGCTTTAAACCTTGATCTTTTCCATTTGAGATGAAATACCGCCCATCTCCACGGCTATCAATGAATGTTATACCTTCTAAATGGCCAGTCAAGACGCCAGCTGCTTTTCCCTTTGTGGCAAAGCAGCGTCTGTCCCAGACCTGAAAACAACATACTTTATATCTCATGTGTGATAATGGTTTTACAACAAGGTATAACAAATGGAGATCAAGAGCCTCAACACGCTCAGGAATCAACAGATACAAGATTTGACAAGGGAATCTGATAGCAAAGATATAGAATCTAATGATTATTCTGAAAAAGGAAAGTAGTAATCTACAGGAGCATTGAGTTAATGACTTATCATATACCAAGTTTCAAGTAGGTTCTTGCTCGTTATCTGTGCAAACTCCCTCTAACCAGTGATTGTATTGTCATTTTGGATGAACTAATGGCGGCTTTTCTTTTATTGTCACTGAGCTTAATGCTCCCTGCTACTGTTTGTATATCACTTTTAGAGGTTTTACAATAATCTAGATGACAGCACTCATTCTTCTCACCAGTCATAAAGCCCTATGTTTTATCTTAACAAGATGCACCCTTCACGTAGCAGTAGCAATAACGGAATTCATTTACTACTTCTACAAGCAACTTATGTAACTTGAGGAAAGGTACCATTACCCTATGTTATAAGCTTGGTAACTGGAGGTTGGACTAATATAGAATTTCCACAAAAATCATGGTAAGCTTTGAACTGGGTGAAATTGAGGTAAGTTAACAAAGATGTCAGTGCTTGGGTTTTTATCCTGCCTGTTGATGGGTTTTTGTATTGTATCGCATTCGCTGATGATGGGTAACTATGCAGGAGCCTGCCGTTTTGAGTTTTTCAAGCTATCATTCTATCTATTTTTAGGAAGTTCAACACAGTTACCTATGTCCACATTCATGACATATTTTTTGTTATTCTCAAAAAAATTATCAGCGAATGTGGACAAAGGTAACTGTCTCGGACTTCCTAAAATGTGATATGGGCTAAAACTCTACCATTGTTAGCTGTGGTAGTGGAGATGATAATGTGTCCATTGGTTAGATTTTCTGCCACAACATCCCTCTGTACTTGATGTCATGGTTCCCCTCCATAAATATCATGGTAAGGTAATAACTTCTACGTATCGTAACATACAGATTGAAAATTACCTTGCAGAGGCTATCATCACTCCCAGAATATATAAGGTTGCCAGTGTCATCAGCAAAAGTTACTGTATTCACATCAGACTGGAAATGAAAAATGAAAAATAGATCAGTAAAATGGTAGTCGCCAAAAAATGAGTTTGTAGATAAAATTTTGCATAGATGAAAGCACACAACAATCTTTAAAACGTGCCTTGAAATTGAACAGATAAAAAAATAAAATAAAATAAAGAAATTTGAAATCAAGGGAGAGAATGAAAGGAAGGAGAGAAAGGAAGGAGAGAAAGGAAGGAGAGAAACAAGCAGTTGTTTGGTTATAACTAAGTTGGTCATATAACTACAACAAACTATACATACTGCTAAACAAATCAAGAGTAAAAATAAATTAGAAGGTAAATGCAAGTCATACTGTATGAGCTGGAAAACGTGATGTCAATCTATTTGCTTCTAAATCATAAACATATATTGAATCATCACTAGTTCCGGCGACAAGCTCTCGACCATCAGTTGAAAATTTCACGGAGAATATGCCAAAAGAGAATGCCCCATGCGCATACATAGAAAAGTCCAGGCCATCATGAATATCCTGCATGATAAAGATGCATATCAAGAGATAACGAGAATAATCCCATTTCAGTACAAACACAACGGCATATAAGTATGCCACTTTTTTTATGTAAGTTCAATATTATATGCCACTTATTTATGTAAGTTCAATATTATAGTAAAAAGGTGAGAAATCATGAAGGCACAGTTGCAAGAAGTAGTTGTTTATGGACTGTCAACAACTAACTGTTCGGAAGTCAAAACGGACTTCCTGAGAAAGATCTTCTACAAGGCAATGATGAGCAGCCATAGTAGACGCAGAACAACAATAATCTCAGGAAGCTTAACTGATTATGACGAGTCTTTTTAAAGGGAAAAATCTAAATTTATTTGTCTAGTAAGTTTGGAGACTGCTTTATCTAGAAACTGGAACTGAGGAGCAGATAATCTCCAACATGTTTCCCAGCTTAAAAGTTGCTTCAAGAGTGCTGGCTCATTTCTCTTTCGGCACTAATACAATTAACATATCTGCTTGATGATACATGCATGGTTACCTGAAAGTGTGGAAATGTGGTTCCAAAAAATAAAATAAAATAAAATAAAAATCGAATAATCATTGACCGGTCCCAGATATGAAGAAATAAAAGACTGCTGCACATATGGAAGACTTTCAATGACTAAAAAGTGAAGGAAACACTTAATCTAACAAGAAGTGGAGTTATACATACATTAATGTTAGCATGAGATTCCATTGCTGAACTACCCACATTAACAATGTGAACAATAGGTGACATGCTAGCATAAACCTGCAAAAAGAAATCGTTAAGATGTAAACATCAGTTAATCAGATCATCAAGAGTAAAACATAAAAAGTGATGTTTGTGCATTAAAATAAAATCTGAAAAGAGAACAAATAGGTCAAGACAGATAACGGTAAAAGAAGTAGCAAATTTGGCAAAACAAATAAAAAATAAAAAAATAAAAAACAATGGGGACATGTCTTGTTGAGCTATTGGATAGATAAACAAGATGAAAAATGAAGACAGTCTGAGGCAAACATATATGACATAGAAAAGGCTAAAATAAAACCTAAACGAACAAACTACCTAACGCTCGCACCAATAACTAGTATTCTATGTTTTATGCTCTGTCTGTAGTAATCTCAAGTTAAGCTGTCTGTAGTAACGCCAACTTGTGCTAACTAATACTCTTACTCGATACCAGCTTAAATTTATGCTTAAAAGCATTATTTCACTGTAGTTATCTCAATTTATGCTACGTATCACTATAAGCATAACTTGATATTACTACAGTCAAATATTTAGCATTGTTATTGGTGGAGCCATGGGGAGCCAGGGGTCGCCATGCTCCCCTTCCCCGCAACGTTTTACAAACAAAGGGTCTAGTTAGCTATAGTTCCTCAAATCTTCCGTGTTTGAAATTAGTCCCCAAAGCATTCATACTTGAAATTAATCCCTCAAATCTTTCATATTTGAAATTAGTACCCCAAATCTTCATATCTTGCAATTAGTTCCCCAATTTTTTGGAGAGTTTGAAAATTTTCTTTGTCATATTTACCATCCAAATTGTTATTTGCCATTGGATAATGGTTAATTAAGGATGGGTAATTACCAAATCAACTAAAATCAACATCAAAATCCACCAAATTTAGTCTTAATATCAGTAGTCTTAAATCTAAAATCTTTCCTCAACTTGCACTCAACGGGGGAAATCCCCTATATACAAACACATACATCTTTTCATGTAGTTCTCTTTACATTTCAAGTATAATAGGAAAGAGGAGTTTCGACGACATATGCACTTTGCAGTTAATAGTAGAAATTTGAAATATGATTTATTATTTTTATGTGGTTTTACCATTTTATGATAGAATTGTGTAATGAAGTTCTTCCAACTTCATAAAGTTTTACATTATGAAATAGATAAGTGAAATAAAATTTCTACGTTCATGTGCTTCTGCAATTATTTTATAAATATATGATGGTTAAAAAAATTCATTTCTTTTTAATATTGTGTGAAATAAATTTTTGGTAGTATAATTTATAGTACATTGTCAATTTGTCCAGTCTTCAAAAAAATTATAGTTTATAGCTTGTGGTTATTGAAAAACCAACTAGAATCGATACATTTTTTAAAACGAGAATTTAGAAGATTGAGGTATGTTGATTCAACAATGAGTGCATATATTGAAATGATTTAAGTATTCACGGAAATATTTCTTTTTTGCAAAACTTTTACTTTAGGTTCTTCTTTCACCTACTAACATACATGACAATTGGTTATTCATTTTAATATTTGATAGTTTTTTTATCGATGCATAGTATAATGGTTATAATTTGGCCCTCCTAAGAAAAAAAATCCTAGCTTCGCCACTGAGCAACGTAGGGACTAGTTACTGCTAGGATGTCAAACCACCTAAGTTGGTGCCAATATTCTTGAATGTAATTTTTATAGGCAGAACAAGGTTTTCTATAAGATCTGGCATCTTATATTGCATGGCTATGCGTATGGGTACTGGAACGGGTATGAAATTCTCATGTTATGTGAATTAAAATTCCTATAACAGTTTATGCTTTTTTATTATGCGGATTATAAATTGTAAAAATTCTCTTTTTATGCGCATGTTATGTGAATTAACATTAATAGTTTACATGAGATCAATATTTTTTATTCGCATGTTATGTGAATTAAAATTCCTATAACTTTTTATGTTTTTTTATTATGTGGATTATAAATTGTACAAATTCTCTTTTTTTGAACTAGGCACCCAAACGTCTAAACGAGTTTAAAGACATGGATGTGAAGTGTAAGATTTATGTCTAGCAAATGTTTGACAAGTGTTCTAAATTAAAACATGTATTGTTTAATTGAGTACATGCCTGAACAAATGTATACATGCATGCAAGGTGTGTCCAAGGAGTTCGGATATAGGTAAGGGTACGGGAATATGTCGCGAATGCGTAAGGCTTCAAGACAGGAGTACACAGGTAATATAGGCATGCTAGTTAAGAAGATGGGGTTCTTTCCATAACAAGTTGCAAAAACGAACTTAGTCAAGAAAACAGTTTTTATTTTTAATTTTGTACAAATTTTCTTCCATTTCCTTCGAGGATGAGTTAAAGATAGGAAGTCATTATAAGTTTGACAACAGATTATAAATTAGACTGAAGTTACATAGAATATGAAACAAAAAAAATCAGACATTTTACTGCAATATTTAGTTGAAACTCACAAGAAACCGGCGATCTGGTGAAAGGGATGTATCTGTGATAGTCCACCTCAAACTTTTAGCAAGAATATCCTTTTGCACTTTCCATCCATCATCAACATTGTATATTCTGATGTGGCTTCCCTTTTTAGATGTTGAAAACAACCAAAGAGAAAGGACAGTAAATCTCACAAAAAACAAACCTGATGATAGATCAGGACAATGGTTTCTTTCTTAACATCCATCACATTACAAACTACATACCTGAAATCCTGCTATAAATAGTGAACCGTCAGAAGAGAACTGGGACACATATGCCCGGGTATCCATTCGGTCAACAGGCCATGGACCATTGACAGGCAAGTATCGTCCAAGAAGATGAGAGCGATCAGCAGAAGAGAACCTCCCCTTTCCTGAATAATTAGTTTCCCTACCTGACAGCATTTTAACTGTCGATATAGGCATCTTCCTCCCAGTATGGCCAGCTTTACGGGCACTTTCACTTGGTTCTGAACGGAGCTTGGTCAGTTGAAAAAATTCATGATCTTTGTGAAGAGGTTCATCACACATTTGTCTAGAAGAAGCTCCATCATCACTATCAGTGTCACTAATGCAAGAATCCAATCCTGGCTTACTCATATTGTAACCCATGTTATTTAGTGAACAACTACTAAACGTTATGTATGCACCAACCAGGATCTGAAAGTCCTATTAAAAATGAAGTTGGATGTTAATATGTTATTGCACCCAACTTATGATGTTTCACATAAACATTAACAAGTGGAATTCAGCTGAGAATACATAAAGTATAACACAGATTGGATACTTTACTTTTACATTTATGTTTCGAACAATTACCATGAGAAGGAAGACATGGATTTCACAGTTGATAACATTGTCAATATAAACGAGAGTGCATAACAGAAAAAGACCCGGGACAAAGTAGAAACATAAGAATGCTGTAAAACTCTTGTTTGCCCACATAAAAAACAACAAAAGAACATTGGGAAAAACAACAAAAACAAGTGCAATAACCATTAGCCAAAAAACCTTGGACAATTAAAGCAGAATTTTGTCCACCTCGATGAAGGTAAGTCAAAACACTTGGACAAATAAGGCTAATATCAAAAAGGGTAAATTTCACAAAACCCCCCCTTAAGTTTGGTCAGTTTTGAGATAACCACCCTTAAGCTTTGTCGCATAATCCCCCTAACTAACACCATTAGGTCCGATCGTGCACGTGAAAATCAAGTATGTCCAAATGAAAAGATGTCCCGAATGAGAAAACCTTTTCACATTCTTTTTTAATAATTGTAAGCATAATTTTCGAGTTGTATCAAAATTAATCCTTAGCTCGTATATATCATACCTCTTAATAGCTGACGCTATAAACATTTCAAGTCACTTAAAATGCATGTTCCGTGGACATGTCGAGGTTTGAATAGTGAATACAGTTCACAAAATGGTTGTTTCTGAAAGATTTGCGGATTGAAATTCCACTAGTGGATACATTTGCATCTAACCGAATCCTGCTATTGTTCGTTTCAACTTGTTTATAGCCAGCCTATGTATAAGCTTTCTTCTTTGATCACTTTCACAGTCCGGAAGAAATCTTAAATTTTCCATTCCAATTTCTGCTCAACCACGACAAAAAAAATAAACTTTTCTTTCTAAAGCAAGAGATTCTATATACAAATTGGAATTCGACGACGAACAATTAGAGCAAATTTAATCAGATTAATCTAAGAATTTAAACTGTAGACAAAAGTAAGTATATAAATGGCAATGAATTGATCGAGAAAAGGGAAAGACTTTTCTAGGGTTTAGGGCTCTCTTACGGTCTTACCTCAATTCGATCACAATTGAGAGAGAGTGAGGACTTAGTTTGCGGCAGGCTGAGGCTCGAGTTGATTATCTTATTACAGGATGAAGTTTTCAGCGCAAGAGATTGTAGGTGGAATCCCGTGCAGCGTTGATTGGTAGCAAAACTGGCACCACAGCCGAAAACGATGACTCGCGTCCCGTTGTCATTGGATGTACACTCGCGAAGGGGAGTTGAGTACCAATCGTGAAACTCCTACGTGGATCGTCTCAATTGGCTACGGTAGAAAGAGCTTATTTGTCTTGTTGCTCAGCAATGAAGAGGGTGCGGGGAGAGGAATCGCTTGGGTAAAACTGTGCCACGAGACATCTGATTGGGATAATACGACGAAGATGAGTCGATAAAACAGGTATCCGTATACAGTATTAGATGCCGACGTATGACCGTTTATAAACAGGTATCCGTATACAGTATAAGGTGTTAATTGCGGCTAGGCCCCTGCGCTATCGTTCATTTGCTGCTAGGTCCCCTGTACTTCTACTGTTACGGTCTGCAGATTTCCTCAGTTATGCAATCGTGAAAATCCCTTCATAAATTCTTCCGCGGCACTCGCATGCTAATCTTAGAATATGCTAATGCTTACTATTTGCCAAATTTATTGTTAAACCTATCAAAATTCAATTTAAAACAGCGTTAATGTAGGTTTCAAATAGGATGCTGACAAGTTTAATAGTAGAATTAACCAAAAAAAAAGTGTTAAACTGTTCTAAAAATAGCGAATGAGTGTCGCATGAGAATTTTCGGGACAAATTTCTTAAATTTGCATAATTGATGGCTGAGGCAAAGACAAGGGGAAGAGGGGTGCCATGGCCCCACTTAAAGAGTTTGGATTTTTTTTAGTTACATGTATATGCGTAGTATTATGTAAGTTATATGGACGAGTTAAGTTAAATCCCAATTGAATAATGGGTTCATCTACCCAAACTCGAAATAACCCAATCCCTTAACCTAATTCACAAAATACCAATCCCAACATTATTCCCTAGTGACACATCTCTGAGCCTCTGAATTGTTAGATATAGGTGCCCTGCAGGCAATTATTGTATATTGTAACAAGACCTATATGTATATAACATCCTTGTTCAAAATGATAGTATGCTATTTTGGTCAGATTTATCTGATGTTCTAAAAATACAGATAATGTTCTTAGAATAAATACTAGACTATCAGACATTTCGGATAGTGATCGTAATGAAGAGATCTGATTAGTCGGTAACGTATATTCTAAAATGTTCCTAGTTGATGAAGTGTTGAGATAGGACATCATCACTTTGGTTTAGACTAGTGTATGCTTTATTTCTCCTTTTGAAGGAGATGATCAATCTCTTAGATCATTGATGTGAGACATCAAGATACAGTATACAGGTGACTCATTAGTGAATGAGTTGGCTAAACGACTCGCCGAGAACATCTAGTTGGTAATATACTTAACTGTCAAATAGAAGTTCTCAAGTGATAAAGTACATAGTAGTCTCTTGACCTGAGGCATGAGTGCAATATCTTATATGTCAGTAAAGATATATTTAGACTTTTACCTAACCACAGTTCTTATTGAATTGTGCATAACGGTTCTTGTTGGGTACATCCCGAGACATAAGTAGATATTGAGATGCCAAGAAGGGATTCGTCTCTCCCAGTATAGGGGTTGATGTCATAAGATTGTTTGATATAACTATAGCCTGGAAATCCTTGGCCAAGGTAAATAAGATAAACTGAGTGTCAGTTTGATCTTATAGGTTATGAGTTTAATATCAATAAACACTAATCAAGCTATTAGGGTTTGACAGTTTGCCATACCCTAGGCTCAATAGTTTGACATGGTTTGACGAAGAGACCGGACTGTACGGTATTATCATTGAGTGGTCCTGATAAAATTGGATAAGCATCTTGCAGACCTTTATCACAACTTATACCCGGGTGGTCTTCATGTGTAGCTAGCACCTCTGTTGTACTTATGGATATGATCCACTACCGAGTTTTTTAAGTTGGGCCCTAGAGTCACACCAAGCGCGTACTTGAATCCTATGAAACACAATTTATGGAGTGATGCGTATGATTGATACGCATATATGATTTCTTCCGGATACACATAAACGGTTATGTATATCGGTAAAATCGGAATGCTATGTGCTTAGGAAATGAATTCCAGTATTTTTCCCATAAAGTTAACTTTTAGTCAACTAGTTGACTTTTTGGTCAACAGTTGACTTTTGGTCAACTCTTGATTTATTTGGTCATATAGTGACTAATTAGTTAAAGATTGGAATAATACTATATACCGTATTTATGAAATACTGTATTAGTGATAATTATTTGGTGTTCTCATTTATGAAATACACATACCATGTATAATGAGTCATGAGATGAGTCACTTAGTGGTATGGTTTGAGCACATGGTTTATTAGCACATGGTTTTGAAATGTAATGATTCATAAGATGATTCATTGCATGACTCACTTGATTAATCATTAATTTTTGATGATTCATTGCATGACTCATAGGATGAGTCATTCATATCATGAACACATTTCACTCTATAAATATGAGCTCTTTTTCTTATGGAAATGTTAATGAAAAATTGGCTAAGTGTTTTTTCCATAAGAGAATAAAAGAGAGCTCTCCTCTTACTAAACTTTAGCAATATTTGAGCAAGAGGAAGTAGTAGGATTTTAAGAACCCCGGGGTGGATATCTTGCCTTGTGTCTCAAGAAGACTCCCATTTTATCAAGCTCACTTGAAGACTTGGAGATCCACTACGAGGAGATTTTCTACTACAAGGAGCAAGAGCTAGGGGTTATTCGATCTTCCATCGAATCACGCTACGAAAGTATGACTTTCTAACTCTTGTATGCTCACTTAATAATAAGGATCATGTTAGATTTAATTAGACGATCCATATGAATATTTCATGCTCTCTACATGCTTAGTATTTTTGTACATACATGTCTTCCGCTGTGTATTATGCATGTAGACATAGCACGATTTCCTTCATGAATATCGTGTTCATGAATTACATTTAGAAATCTCATTGCTGCGCACGTCTTTTACATCGATCGTTTGCGTTATCGTATGTATAACTCTGGTTCATTTTTTGGATAATATTCATATTATAGACATTTTCCTCTTCTCAAATGAATCATGCTTCTTTAATTTCTATTATTATTAGAAACGCGTATAATTTAAATCGTACTGTCAAATTGTTAGGTATAAAAAAGATTAAAATATGTATTTTGTAGTTATGGGACAACTAAATACAATTGATACATTTTTAAACAGATATCTCTTTAGCAAACCGTACATAGTGCATAAAATATAACTCTAAATTCAGAATTTTCAATTGCTATTTAATTTATAAATTCGGTTGCTGATCACCCTCTAAAAGTTCAAATATCCTAACCTGAAAAACTTGACCTTTCTTCGTAGGATTGCGATCCTGGATGGTGCTCGCTACTATGAGACTATGATGTAAACCAACATGATGACATTCATCACTATTATCCAGAAGCCAGTTCTTTTATCACCTATTTGCACATACGAAAAATTATTACACATTGTCATTTTTTGTTACGGTATATTATGACGGTTGCATTTTGGCCTCCCTATGAATTTTTTTTGGCTTCCCCGCTGATTAATGGTACTAATGTGTAACTTTTAGAAACTCTAGGGCATTTAAGTGCAACCAAATGGAACTGGGGATATTATATGCGAAGTAGATGAAACTATAGGATATTTAAGTAAAAAGAAGCCGGAAAAAGGGAAAAAGAGGAGATTTTCAGCGGCCCAAAGAAGCCCACATCCAATCCAATTCCAAACCCAAATATCCAAATCCAACACGTCCACGCCCAACCCCAACCCAAACCCAATTAGACCCCCTCTCATGAACCCGCCGCCCAAACTCGCCCATGTCGAAGAAACCCCGGCAGCATCTACTGCTCCTGCGGAGATGCTACAC